GATACCCCCTCCCCCCCCCCCGCTCCGGTGTTCCGAGCAGCCGGTCTCTTCTCTGCTTCCGCCCGCATGCTGTCCAAGGGCAAGTCGGGCGCCGGCGCCTCTGCGTCACCCCCCGCCAAGCGAGCGAAAACGCCGCCCAAGGTGAGCTAAGCTTTGGTTCAGCTATAGTAGGGGTTCGGAACGCCGACACTTCGGGGTCTGAGTCTTCACACCCGGAAGGAAGGTGGTCGATCCGCCCAGGACTGACCATGTGCTGTGTATTCATGCGTACACGCAAAAGAGCGTCGTTCGCTGTTTGCTCTCTGGTGGTTTGTTTTCGCTTTATGAGCACCGTGTTGTGCGTCGCAGGATAACTTTCGCACACGAGATGGCAATCCCCGTTTGGCGGTATTCCATACACCGTGGTTAACATTTTTGCGGGTCAACATGAGCTCAAAAGACATGAGTGCTTTCTCGGATCAAGTACAGTACTTCAGCAGGGCGACAAAGGATGCCAATTGCCCCCACAATAAGAAACACCGGGTGAAATTGTTTTTTGGAGCCAAAACGTTAGATATCACCGGGGTTATTTTCTTGCGTAGTGTACGGTATATTGCTTCATTAGTCTAAGCGTTTTTTTTCTAAGTAAGCAAACATACTGGATAAAGTATACAGTCGGCAAAGTTGGGGTTGGGGGTTAGGGTTAAAGTCTGCGTGCCCCCTGCCTGGTCTTTCCCGTAATTAAGTTACTTTCTTTTGCGTAGGCAGTCCTATCGCTTTGCACATATGTTGGTCGTTCCCCTACGGCTACTGCCCCGGGTCGTTGGTAGCAGGGATCAACCGGCTTCTTTTTTTTTGTCGCCCCACCTTTGTCGCATCTCCCGTTCCACCACCACCGCCGCGAAGGCTACCAAGAAGAGGAAGGCCGCCGAGGTCGAGGAGGAGGAAGAGGAAGAAGAGGAGGAAGAGGAGGAAGAGGAGGAGGAGGAGGAGGCGTCTGGTCCCACAACGGACGAACTTAGAGTCAAGGTAGGCAGGTTGGGTTTGATGGAGGAAGAGTCACTTCGGGCGAATTTAGAGCCAAGGTAGTACAGCAGTGATTGGTTGAGTTTGAGGGAGTCTGGTCCCACAACGGACGAACTTTAGAGTCAAGGTAGGCAGCCATGGTGATTATGAGTTGGTTTTTGATGGATGGATGTGGCTACATTCAGCTTCATATATATTTTCCTTTCATTGCTGTTTTCGTGGAAGTGCTGGGTGTCCGAGCCCGTTGCGCGCGACACGTCGGCGCCTGCTGCGAACGAACGCACGCACGCAACGGCGGACCATAAAAGTCTGCACATTATTCCGGCATTCTTCAACCACTGAGATGGGGCCCCGCCACTGCACACACGCACACGCACACACACACATACACACACATACACACACACACGCACACACACACACATACACACACGCACACACACACACATACACACACGCACACACACACACACACACACACACGCACACACACACACACACACACACACACACGCACACACGCACACACACGCACACACACGCACACACACACCGGCCCGCGCGCAGGTGGAGGAGCTCATCGCCAACTCCCAGGACGTGTCGAGCTTGACCTTCAAGATGATGAAGAGCCAGCTAGAGGAGCACTTCGGGATACCCCTGGCGGACCGCAAGCCGGAGCTCATCGACATCTTGTCGGAGGCCATGTAGACTGTCGTGTCATGTCGTGTCGTTTCGTTTCGTGCCGTAACGGTTTCTGCGAGCTTAGTTGACACGCTATCGGAGGCTATGTAGATTGTCATGGCATGTGTCATGTCCTCTTGGGACCGTAATTGTTATGAGCTTAGTCGACATGCCATCGGAGGCCATGCAATGTCGTGAGTTGGTTTCGTCAGTAAGAATAGCGCGCTGCTGTGTTGGCCGCGGCATGAGACGCCTCTCTCGCTTTGTTTCCGAACAACCCCTTCGGGAGCGCTCCCCCCGCGGCCAGCAAGTATGTACCAGGTGGTCCCGTGCTCAACGTGAGAGGGCATGCCTGATTTGCCCGCTGTTCGGGGACAGGGAGGAGATGCTCACCGAGGGATGCTATTACTATTGTTGCTGTTGTTTTTGCCCTATATTTTGTAGGCAATCGCTTGAGGATAACGACGACGCCGTTACTCGTGCCGTCCCACCGACAACGCCAAACCAACGGTTCGGTCCTGTAGCTGGGGGCAGTGGTAGGGAAATGCGCGAATGGCGTTTGTTTCCCTGTCAAAAGCTCGGAGTGTGTGTCTCGAGTTAATAGGGGACACGACGTTTTTTTTTATGGATTTCGACATGTGTGTTGGGAGAATATTACGTACGTAATACTGTAGTCCGGTAGATGATTCTCGTGGTGTGTACAGGTTACCTCGGTTCGGGCGGGAAGGGCTCCGGCTTTCTCGACCCGCGCAGCAAACATGCGGTTATTGTCTGGGATGGAATCACGCTTAACTTCCCGGTTCATGTTTCATTTGTCCTGCTTACGTGCATGTGTAGGAACCACAGGGGGGGGGGCAGCGTCTATCATAGTTAGTTTCATTAATCGATTCCTATTTAAAGTCATTCGTTGAGCGATGTCGAGCGGGGCATGGTGCGCGACAACATGGCGGTAACAGCCGTGGCCTCGACGGGCTCGGCTGTGTGAAGAACGTGGGGGAAAAGCGCATTAGTCTCATGTATTGGTAAACGACGGACACAAAGTGTGCTTGCTCGTGTCGGAGACTGCTGCGTATTGTATGCCTCCTCCAGGCAGTCGATTTCGTTCTGTCTGACACGTTTTGTCTATGGGCGGAAAGGAAAGACGTAGTTTTGGAGCCGGCGGAAGGGGGGAGGGTGTCGATGGTAATGCGGCGGGGGGGAGTGTCGGTGGTAATAGAAGCACCCGATTAGGCGTTGGGCAAGCGATTTTGGCCAGCACCGGCGTGTGAGCAGTGTGTGCAGTGTCGTAATGCGAACAATGACGGCATCGATTGGTCTGAAGGCAAGGTATACAGGGTCGCACATGAAATAGCTCAGGACGCAAGGACAATGCTGGAAGAGATGAATGATGTACACGAACAATACATGTTTGATGATTCAGGCCGCCTGCTGTGTGCAGTGCGAGTGTTCAGGTTGTTTATCCATGCTTCTTGATGAGGCGGTGCTCAGGATGTGAATGCGTTAAGGCCCTCTTCTCGTAAATGGGCAAGGACGCCCCCCCCTACCCCCCCCCTGGAGTCCCCTAAACGCCTCCGAGCTAATTTCTATCATCAGCGTCCACACCCCCCCGACACGGGTATGTAGTCTTGGCCGGCCACCTTTTACAGCCAATGTGTACCTGATGGATGTGGTAAATTTATCCGAAGGTTGTCAACGATGGATCACCTATTATAGTGCCGTATGATTTTCAGAAGGGTTTTTTAGCCTTGTGGCAATGCAGACCAGGCGGCACGTCGGTGTCTTTCGCCACGGATGGAGACAGTCGACGTTTTGCTCTTTCGTGCCTGGGTATGATTCCTGCTTGGCGACCCCGCCCCCCCCCCCGGGACAGAAGGAGACAGGCACCATCGTTCACAAGCAGCAGAGGGAGTGGTATGTGGGACGATTGTATGAAGCACCATTTAAGGGAGTTGTGCCGTGATAAATCGAACAACAACTGCTTTTCCCGACACGTTTTTGAACCATCATCATGTGGATGTTTAAACCGTATACAGTGCTGTCAGCCCTTGGACGTTGGCCCCTTGAGCATGCACCGCCTTCGACGATATACCTTGTAGCGATATTATATTAGCCGTCAACGCTCCTCCCTTGAAGATATGGAAGCACCAAACAAAAAAGACGGTCATTTTAGTACCGATTCTGATATAGTGGGAAGGTGGACCCTCCAGGTTCTACTACGGCATTTTCCTTTCGTCATCACCCAACATTCTATCACACTTGTACCTCTACACCTCACGACAAAAATAGACGTTCGTCTGTACTTTCTCTCGTCCAACGCCGTTATCCATGTCATATTTTTCTTCACAGCTTACGCGCAAGTCTTCGCAAGGTTACGTTTGTAGAAGGACTATAATCGTCTAATTGAATGCCACTGAGACGGAAAAGACCTTGAAACAGGCACATCTTACTCACTAAGTAGCTTCGGGCCACAACAACAACATATACATACGTTGAACAATCCCCCCCTCCCTCCCCTCGTTCCCGCTGCTCGGGGCTCTCCTTTAAAGGTGCTAGCGGGATTCTACGTAGCTTTTAGCATCACGAGTCGTCTGATAGATCCCGCTACGACCTCAATCCGAAACGCCCATCATCCCTACACATGCACACCTTGCAAAACTTGCTGCCGTGCTCAGAAACTTGTCCTCAAAAGCCTTTACAACGTGTCACCATCTACAAGTAAGTTCTACTGCAACCATCCCCTACACCATGTTGTTGCTGCACCCACCCAAAAATGCTGAACCTACATATATACATACCGAGCAGAGACCGGAAGGGTTAATAATGTGAAGCCAACAAGAAGACAAACATCGGTTGTTGACACTACTGAACACACAGACAGGGGACCTATTGTCTACTACGTTCATATCCAGCCAAGAAACGTGTAACTCAAAATAAACCTTGTATCACCCATCTAGGGGGAGGGTAGTTGACCCGCAGAGCAGCTCAACTTCGTTCGTATCGAGGATACCTTCCGTCGGACACACGTTCACAGCGGAGTCTCATCGCTCATCATATCGATGATAGCGTCGGTTTAACAGATTTTCTGTCGGAACGCTGCTGACAATACTGTAATCACTAGGTTCCGGTCGATGGACGCGCGAATCGGCAAGCAGCAGGGTCGGGCCTCTCCTATAAAAAACGTTTTTTCACAAGAAATCCAGGCTCATATATTTGGAAAATAAAGACAACTGGAACAACAACGTAACAACACGACACGAATTCATCCCTAAACAATTAACCCTGGACTCTTCGCTATTAATTGATAGAGATGAGCTTGTTTTTATTTCTCCCGTAAGAAAAAAGCAAACATACGAAAAAGACACACAACTAGTCGGCGTAAGGGCTCCGTCGCCAGCGCTACTGTATATAATATCTTCATCGGGGCGTACCTAGCATTTTCCGCCTGTGCTCAATCATTGAGTGAGACACCTTGCAAGCTGTTAAAGCCTTGCTCAATATACAAAGGACATTTACTTCTATTTAGGGGGCCGGCACTGTTCTCGACGGTATAACTCGGGGAATTCCCGTGCTTGGCTACACTTGGTTATTTGCTTCTAGCGGGCCACACTGCACTCGGCGGAACAACTTGGGGCATTACCTACCGTGCTTGGCTACGCTTGGTTGGGTGATCGGCGATACGCTTTTTCTTTCCTACACAATCGCAAGCGTTCGACGAACCACCCCGGCAGTCTCTTCCGACAGCCTCGCCTTGTGCACGGAGCATATCCCGAGGTTCCGGAGGGTTCGCGAGACGTCCGGGTGGTCCGTTCCAAGCTTCTCCTCCCTGATGACGAGCGCTCGCAGGTACAGCTTTTCGGCGTCCTCCATCCGCCCGGCCTTCAACGCGCACCCGCCCAGGACGTGCAGCGTGTCCGCCACTTCCAGGTGCACGCTGCCCAGCACCCCTTCCCTCGTGGCCAGCGCTCGCAGGAGCAGATCCTCGGCCTCCTCCAGCCGCACCGCATCGTAGGCGCAGACGCCGAGGGAGTGCAGCGTGCGCCCCAAGATCAGCGGGTCGGTGCAAAGCTTCCCCTTCCTGATGTCAAGGGCTCGCCGGATGAAGCCCTCGGCCTCCTTGACCTTCCCGGATTTACGGGTGTACACCCCGAGGGAGTGCAGGGTGCTCGCGATGTGAGGGTCGTCGGGGGCCAGCTTTTCCTCCTGGATCGCCAGGGCCCGTCGGAGATACCCCTCGGTCTCCTTTTCTCGCCCGACCTCGCAAGCGCACATCCCCAGGTTGTGCAGGATTTTTGCCACGTCGGGGTGGTGGGGGCCGGCGGTCTGCTCCTTGATCAGCAACAGGTTGGAGTACTTGTCGAAGGCCTCCGACCAGTCCTCCCGGCAGAAGTGAAACTCCGCGGCCCTCCGCAGGGCCTCCAGGAGCTCGCCTTCCGAATCGTCCATTATCGCGTTCAGCGCCGCGTTGTACGGGCTACGGACAAAGCCCTCCCCCTCGACCTTCGAGAGTTTCTCCCAGACCTTGTCCAGCCAGGCGCTCGAGTAGGTGTTGAGGGCCCTCACGCTCGAGATGTAACGTCGCCACCGGGGAAGCGCCGTGTCCCGCGTGTAGTGCTTTGCCAGGGGACGGTCGAGGACGAAGTCCACGTGGTTCTCGTGGACGTGGTACCACCCGCTGTTCTCCTCCAGCGTCAGGATCGACAGGCGTTCGAGGGTGCCCAGGACGGCCTCCGCCGCCTTCAGGGCGCTCTCGGAGAAGTCGTCCCCGTACAGCAGGATCAAGGCGACCTCCGGGGGGAACGCTAGCCCCGTCGGCAGCAGGGCCAGGGCGTAGTAGAGCTCCGTCGTCTGGGGGTTGTCGCTCGCGAGCACGCCGAGCCCAGCCCGGAGGACCGCCGCTCGCCACGGGAGCAGCTGTCCGCCGTCGCCGCCGGCGCGCTGGGTCTCTATGATGCTGTCCAACGCCGCTCGCCACGCGCTCTCGCAGCTTCTGCGACGGATGTTGCCCCACCGACCGACCAAGGCCAGGTCCAGCACGGCGAAGTCGCACCGCTTCATCAGCTCGTACGCCGCCGGGGGGAGGCGGGCTTGCTCGCCAAGGTCGGCCGCCCGCCGAAGCATCTGTGACGGATGGACAGGCGATGGTTTGGCAGGATGGTTTGGGGTGGCCGTTTGAGTTGTAGTGTCGATGAGAACTCAAGTCATCACTTCTGATCCCTGAATATCCACGAGAGAGAGAGCAGTAGTCAAAGGGAGAGAAAACACAGGGTGCGAAGGCGACTCACTACCAGCTACAGAGCAGCAGCCTCTCGATCAGCATGTACCGAGGTCGATGGATCCATGGACGGACGCGCTTGAAAGGTAGTACTGCTGTGAGTCTCGAAGGTGGCTTGTGGATGTGGGAGGAGGTCTCCAGTCGTGGATGCGATTTTTCGCCTTGAACATCGCTATGCGCAGGAAGGAATGCTTGGCAAGGTTGGGGCACCCTTGCTATTCAACTCGGGGCCCCGCAGATGCACAGAACCCCACGCTACCCCGCGGGGTTATGTATCACGCAGTAGTCAAGTAACGAAACTCTCAGCATGTGGGTACATCCCAAGCGCCAAAGAAATCAAAGTCCATTCCATGGTACTGTTACGACGGAGCACTCATCGGACGAATGCCTACAACAACACAAAACGTAACCGTAACGCACCATCTCGGCCTCCTCCTCCAGGACCTCCTCCAGCCTTATCGCCGGGGTTCCCGGGAACAGTTCGGTCTTACGGGTGGTGTAGATGACCCACGCCCCGGCTCTCCTGAGCTCCCCCAGCACCTCCGCGTCCCAGACGTCGTCGGCTACCACCAGGAAGCGCGTGTCGCCCTTGCCCGCCTCCTCGCGGATGTAGGCCGCCCCGTCCTCGGAATTGATGCCGACGGTCGCCTCCCGGGGCCGCCTGGCCATCTTCTGCAGCACCGTCTCCCGCACCCTGTTCGCGAGCTCGAACATGAGCGCCGGCAGGCGGTCCTTGGCCCCCTTCCCCACCGAAAGCCAGAGCACCCTGCCGCGGAAGAACGCCTGCACGTCCACCTGGGTGACCACCATCGAGGCGACGGTCGACTTCCCCGCTCCGCCGGGCCCCGCCAGCCCGACCATCCGCGGCTGCTCTCCGGGGAAGGAGGGGATTCCGTTGCTTGTCCCGATGCCGAGGTGGTGGCAGATCTGGGTCGCGACCCCGACCCGCTCGACGTACCAGTCCCGAATGCTCGGGGCTCCGGAAGGAATGTTGACCCTGCCCGGTCTCTCCATCACCGCCTTCAGCGTTTGGTCTTGTACCTCCAGTACTCTGGCCACGTTGTCCAGTTTGAACTGTTTGTTGCGAAGGTTAACGAAAGTGGAGGCAGGACACGCGCGCGCGCACGTACAAAGAGGTGAAACGGTCGCTTCTTCCCTCGGGATACTCCTGTTGTCTCGTCACGAGTGGTCTCCGTGCAAGGTCTGCCGTTCGTTTAACTCTTGCTTGACGCGGAAAAAAATCATTTAATTAAAGTAGAAGAGGAAGAAGTATGTACGGAGTACTACAGACCGGGCCACCACTTTAAGAACAGCTTGCTGTTGCGTGAGGCTCGACGCTTATTGGTTGCTGCCTGAAACCGAGGCCATGTCCTTATTTTCCAAGTTCTTTCTTAGAGCAGACATCCACCTATCCACCTAGGATAAACGTAGCTCTTGTTCCTATTTCTACGCCGATTGCCCCATGCAGAGGACACAGACAGGTATTTCTGGGGGTAGATTTCAATTTCAACGTAACCCTAAGAATACATAGAAGCGTCAACACCAGGAGCAAGATCGGCCACCCCCCCCCCCCCCTTCCGCGCGTACAAGGATTATTTCACGAGGTGCCCCCCCCCCTCTCGCCCCGAATCTGAACTACCTGCTGTTGGGGTCACCCCCCGATTTCTTTCTGAGTTATTATCGTGCAGCCGTCGTGTTTCGGGGCTCCGTTCTTATCTGTATGCGCATTGGCACACGACAAAAAAAGCGGTTTCTTGATTTAGGCCAAGTTCTTAGGTTGTGGACTGTTAGGCCCAAGTTTAGGGCAGATCGCAGTACCTCTTCTTTAAAGCATCCAGGAAACCCCTGCTGCATACCTTGGTTTTCCAAATTCTAACTCCAGTACGGATCTACAATCAATCGCAACCGAACGCTGACCCCCCCTCGTCTACAATGATAGTCTTGAGATTGTAGCCCTTGCGATACACTACACAATAGCGGTCCGCGATTTTCCAAACGATCTTTGTGTCATCGAGATCGGTGAGCTGTACACTGTACACCCAGGATTTGTAAGCTGCTGTGTGTGCCGTCCGATTTTGAAACGCTTCAAGCACACAGCAATGACCGCGAATCACCGCCTACGTGAGTGTGTGTTTCCCCGCGGAACTTTCTGTTCAAAACACGAGGCACGTACGTACGTCATCCAAAAACTGTCGGTGCCGTCGGCTCCGACCGAATCCATGTCCTTTGCAGCTGCTTCTTTCTCCCTAGATTATGCATACACCTAGCTTCGATAGAGTGCCGAGGTGGTGGCTACTCCCCTGCTCCCGCTTGGGAGGGGACCCCGTATTTCCGTAGCAATTTATGCATACCCTAACAACGACGTTACAAATTCGACTACTTTCAATAAACCTTGATTTGTTTCCGTCTGCTCCTACAACAAATCTCCCCTATATGTGGAACCGCTGATCAACCCTCCGCAGCCGCTGGCGAACACAGCCGTTCATCTTTCCATATTTTTTGTTGTTACAAAATAGATGTTCTTCGCCCCATCCGTAAGCAGCGAACGATATATGACACAAAACACCTTTGCGTTCATCTCGCTTCGAGCGCCGAAACGTTGACTGACAATATTACACATCAAGTGACCTACGAACAGCACCACAGGCAGCAAACTGCAAACCCAAGCCGGAATATTTCTGCCGTGGAAGCCCAGAAGCACTAAAATAGTTTATGGTTGCACCACCTCGCGATAACTCGCGGTACTTCCTCCTGTTGCTCTGCAACCTATAAGTAAATACGAACCGTCGTACCGGCCGACATCCCCAACCATGTAAATAAACACAATTGACCACTCACTCCTGATTCCAAATTCTCATGCTTAGTCGAAGCTACAGACACTCTAGAAAACAATATCCCCCCCCCCCCGACGAGATGCTAGAGAGTAGGGAGGAGACAACCCTTCGGAAGAAGGTACGAAGCGAAGACCACTTGGAGATATACGGGAAGTTGAAAGAAGGGATAGGGATGAAGAAGTACTTGGACGGCCCCATGGACTATGCGAAAAAGCTGAAATTGCAATTTCGAGTAGGCGATCTGGACTTGCCAGAACGGAGGAAGAGGAGGATAGACACACATGTCCATGTGGCAAATCGGAGGAGAGTAGACCCCACATAGTTGGGGAGTGTGAGTTGTACAGGAAGGAAAGAGAGGATCTCGAGGAGGAAATGAGACAGAGAGGGTGTGACATGGACAAGTTTGGTAAATTAGACAACACCGAAAAAACGATGTCCATGTGGCAAATCGGAGGAGAGTAGACCCCACATAGTTGGGGAGTGTGAGTTGTACAGGAAGGAAAGAGAGGATCTTGAGGAGGAAATGAGACAGAGAGGGTGTGACATGGACAAGTTTGGTAAATTAGACAACAGCGAAAAAACGATCGCGATAATTGGGGATAGATGGTGGGCACAAGAGGCCCTAGAGGACGGGGATAAGATGTGCAAGAAATTTTTATGGAGTTTGTGGCAGAAACGTAAAGAGCTCCCAAATGTTGGTGGTGTCTCTAGTAGGTGTAGGAACGGTGCTCCGTCTCGAAAGGGACGCGTGGTCAATGGTCAAATGACTACGGCAAGCAACAAATGAGTACGCCCCCCCCCCCCCGACGAAGACGACCAGTTTAAATGTGA